CCACTGAAGTGATCCAGTCCACACAAAAGTGCTCCATTATCTAAATAGGAGTGTATTCAGTGACTTCCATGTCCAATTCAGCAAGTTTCCAGAACTGTTGGACCATCCAGTAAACATGGTAAGATAGCATTCCCCAATTATCTCCCCTTCAGGCCAGGTTCACACCTGGGCAACTCCTGACCGCATGGCAATCGTGCACAAAACCACATGGATTGCCACGCGGTGACGGAGTCACTCACCACAGCCGATCGCGCTGGAGTTGGCATTATATTCTAATGGCACCCCAGTTGTTCTGGGCGAATCAACGGTTTCCCGCCGTGAATCCACCCGTGCAACTGAACATGATCGAGGCTAAAAAAGCAAAAAAAAAAAAAAAAAAAGGAACTTGTACCTTTATTTTATATTTATGATCATGCAGCGCCAACCACAAAAAAAATGCAATGCAAAAAAAAGGAGGTAAAAAAAACAAAAAAAAAAAAAAAAAAAAAGGTACTTGTACCTTTATTTTAGATTTATGATCATGCAGCGCCAACGCAGAAAAATAATGTGAACAAATATCAGTGACTGTACAATGTAATGTGCATCGTGATAAATTATTGGATATGAAGGCTGCAGCAAAAAAAAGACCACACGGGTCAAAGCATAAATATTTTTTTCCGATTATGCAGCGCCAACACAATAATAAATAAGTGATTAATTAAACCATATATTGTGAACAAACACCATTAATTATATAATGTGAATATGTGTTATTCAGTGAGACAAAAACAAATATATGTGAAACTGTGTCCACTTTTGAAAAAATAAAATACAGAGTGAAAAAGTCCAACGTGTGTTGTGTATTTCTTTTTTTCAAACACCGTGAATGGTAATAAGGTGTTCCAAGCAAGAGCAGGTTGTAAATTCAGGAAACAGTTCCGTGATGTTTGTTTGGGGATGCCGGCAAATGCCGTGTGAATCCCCTCAGGGTATATACTCACCACAATGTAGTGGCTGTGGTAAGCAGCCTGTAGAGCTTTTAGAGAAATGAATTCTCCTGAAGTTGTGGCGTCTCCGCTGCAACTCTTGACGGTCTGTGACCGGTGAATGGTTTGTCTTCGGGATCATACAAGAAAAAGACCTCTCATAGTGTAGAAGTTTCAAAAGGATTTTATTCGAATCAAAATAGGACTAAAACAACGAAATCCACAAGCAAAAACCGAAAAAAATGTCAAAGAAAAATGTTCCGATCGGCAAAACTACAAAATCCTGTATCTGGTGTAGCGTGAGGTTAGGCCCGCCCCGACGCGTTTCGTCTTATCGACGTCCTCAGGGGTTTAGCAGGTCTGCATGATTGTAAATCTTTATACTCTGACCTATTTGGTCTGTATTGCCGCAGCCTTCAAATTTAATCACCTAATATAATTTAATATTAGATAGAACACTTTTTGACACACATCCAGCGCAAAATTAACAAACACATACATACCTTTATTTTAGAGATTGAAACTGATGGCACCGCGTGGCAACCACTGTGTGCACTAGCACATGATCGAGTGGTCCAGGGACGTGCGTCCCGGGTGTCGCTCTGGTCTGAACCTAGCCTCAAGGTATAGTGGTGGATAGTAGCATTCTCCCTTTTGCAGTAAGGCTAAGGACCCCAATTGGGGGCGTGCTTATGCTGATGTCATCACGTTACCAGAAAGTGGAGGACACCTGCTGACCATCTTGAGCTTTGTTATGCAGTGTGGAACAATCATGGCCTACTGTATGTGAGTGTTTTTAACTTGTTACAGAGTGGTTTTACACTATGGGGCTGTCTTTTGTATTCTCTCTGAGCTACGCTGAGGGTATATGAGGAGTGCAAAAGAAATATACTATATTATTCTGAAATATACTATTCTACATATACTATATTATATTATTCCGAATGTGCAGAATCTTGATAAAAAGGTAAACATTGTTGGCTTCTCTCAGAGCAGGTACAAGAAATTAATTTTGTTATAGTTAAAAAATAAAGCCCATGTCATTTGTATCAATGGGGGTGAAAGAAGGCCATCATTAGTGTCAGTGGAAGTAAAATAAGCTGCATATGGTTGGTGTCAGTGGGAGTAAAATAAACCCCATCACTGGTGTTAGTGGGAGTAAAAGAAGTCCTGCCGTGGTTGTCAATATGGGTAAAAAAAAGCCCCATCGTTGGTGTCAGTGGGTGCAAAATAAGACCAAACGTTGGTGTCAGTGGGAGCAAAATAAGACCCAACTTTGGTGTCAGTGGGAGCAAAATAAGACCCAACTTTGGTGTCAGTGGGAGCAAAATAAGACCCAACGTTGGTGTCAGTGGGAGCAAAATAAGACCCAACGTTGGTGTCAGTGGGAGCAAAATAAGACCCAACGTTGGTGT